TTAGACCTGATGGGGACACGTGAGTTATCATTTAATCCACACATTACTGTTTGGCACACCTTGAGGTGTTTGACATATTACACTATGAGATACCTTGGGGTGTGTTTAACTTATATCTATTTTCTTGTGCTAGGCACTGGTTAGAATTACATACATTGAGAAAAAAAATGTCAGAAGGCCAAATGGTGTGCTAACAGTCTGTCCAGACTACAATGGAGAGTAGCCTTGGTGGTCTGCATAATTTCTTATGGTGTGTAAAAATTTCAGACCATCGCATCCCTTCAAGGAATTCAAGGGCCTGAGATTCCATGTATTGTTATACCTCCACCTCCAGCTTTTTCAACATTAACCACTTCGTTTCCGATCTTTGCTCCAGAAATGGTATGTACATATTTCTTTCGAAGGCAATAACACCAGATCGGCCCAATAAGAAAAGAAAGGGGATAGGTTGCACTATAGCAGCAAATGTGCATCCGTTTTTTATTGCTATTGTGTTGAAGCTATTTTGCCCACACAATATGTTACAACTAATCACACAACAGCCTTGAAGCTATGGTACTACCTCTGCTATGTTCTCTTCTCTAGGTCCTTGATTGAAAAGGAGGCATTTGTGGTATTTGTAGTAGCTTGAGCCTTTTATATATAACAATGCACGCCCATCATCGCTACATAGTTTAACATCTATCTTGCTGTTTAATCAACTAAGGATTTTTGTAGTCATTATTTATAATTTGATATTTCAAGATTCTAAAAAAAGACATTTCTGTAGCCCTCCACAGGTCAATCAACTAATGGTGCTGAAAATATGAATAATACATCGCGTGGAGCAGAAGATGGAATGTTTGCTGGCTTGTTTGACGCAAACTGGAAATTTCTCTCCACCTGGTGACGAACTACCTCCTTTTTGAGATGTCTCTTGCGATGGTGAAGGAAGTGGCATAAATTTTTTGTGTTGATTAATTGGAAGCCAATGCTTGTTACTAGGATATGCATACTTAATTAAGTGCAACCTGAACTTCTCTTTTTGGCCATGCACATGCTGATGGTTGTGATCTCTTGGATCAGTGACTTACATGATTCATAGTGTGTGTGACAATCCTATTTTGATGACACTTTGTGAACTGTGGGGTACTTTTGTAAGCTCCTGGTTGTTGTCATGTAAAATGATGATGGTTAATATATATGCGTGTGTGCGCGCGTCGCTTTTGTGTCTTCAACTTTCTGGAGTGATTATGTAAAAATATTATAGATTTGTGCAAATACAACGAACGTGTGTGTTTTTACCATACTATTTATAAGTAATGATTCCCTAGGGTTCCTAAACTCAAGGGGTAGTATAGGTTAACGGTCGTTATAGAAGATTTCCCTAGGGAACAAAGCGAACCCAAAGGAAACATACTTTACACGTCAGTGGGGCTGGCCTCCTGTCGCCAGTTTCCCTAGAGTTGGAAACCCAAGGGAAAGTAGATGTTACCTAGGGTATACCTTGGACACCCAAGGGAAACCGAGATTCCCCACCACTGAAGCCCTAGGGCGATTTCCCTAGGGTATACACTAGGGGAAATGGTTTCCCTAGTGTTTTTGCCCTTTTGCTTAGGGTATTAGGCCCTAGGGCTATTTGCAGATTCTAGTAGTCATGAGGTGATGTTGCCAAATACCATATATCCGAACAAAAGAACTACAACAGTCAATGGCTAGATTAATAGTACCTAAGCACATACCCTAAAATTTAAGGTGCTGATTCGAAATCATTCATAATGATAACGGTTTCATGCATAATTTGCTAGTACCTAAGTAAGAGATAAGAGATTAAGGTGAATATGCAGTACTTACCGGCTGAGAATTACCTGCTGGATGAGAAGTTGAGAGAACTGACAAACTTTTCAACAGATTAAACAAAAAAACTGCCGCAACAGCAGTCATCATGTAGAAGAAGACTCCTCCGATCCTTGAACATATGACTCGACAATATGCAATGTAATCAGTACATCCATAACCAAATTCAGTAACAATGTCGACCATGATGATTTCTTTGCCAATTCTTTTATAAAACGGAACAAAAGCCATCATATAAGTAATGTACAGATCGGCATATCTGCAAGACACAAAAGGGCAAGTACGCTTACATGAATAGAGCATCATAGAAGATATCAGAAAATATATGATAGTGAATTTTTGAAAAAGCTTGAAGCTGGCAGCAACATGGACTGGTATGGCAGCTCATTGACTACAATAGGGAGATACTGCTAGTAAAAGAATACATGCTATGAGAGGTCAGATTTGTGGTTTGGAAACACAACAATGTCGTGAAATTGGTCATTCAAATAGCTGCAGACTTCTAGACAACTCCTGGACTTGAACACTTGCCCTGCAAAGCAAGGAAATAAATATGTGAATAAGCACATCAGAACTTGATCGAGCCAGCAAAAATTTCTTCTAAACTACTCCCCTTACAGATTAAAGTCTGTATTTTTAGAATTTGACATGGCAAGTCCAACACCAGGCCATCTAATTCATTCACAATGTTTAAAGGAAAACATCACTAATATAAATTGCCTAGTAGTTCTGAATTATGGTTTATCCAATAGTATCTATTAACAGTTAATATTTAGATTACAAGTTCATTGACACCAAAATATTCAGTAGCACTTTTTTTTCCAAAAAAACATTAAGCATTATTATGCAACATTCAAGGCTGCAGTCTACTAACTGAAACTCTGAAAAAAAAGAAACATACATATATATTTCTTTGCATAAGCATAACATCCTAGTGTATGCAACACCTCAATTATCATTGCAATTTGTAAAAAGACATTGGTAGAGAGAAGAACATAACTGAATGAGAAAAATCACTGACTTACAGCAGATATGAGCATGATTCTTCATTGCAGATGAACATTCATAGGCATTGACCAATCAAAACTACATGATTTACTCCTGCATATGAACATCATCAACAAGGATTCTGTCCTCGTCGCAACCTGCTCACTCTCTTTCCATGGTGGCGCAGGAGGGCACAAGAAAGCGGGAGGGGGGGAAGAGCAGCGCGGTGGCAGGAAGAGGACGTGTGGCGATTGCGAGAAGCAACAAAAGACATGTGTGTTGGCCGTCTCGCAGACCACTTAGGACAAGGCACGGAGAGAGACTCCATCCATCAACGACACAAGCGGCGGTCCCAAACTGTATCCGGTAGGAACATTTTATTTCCATTGTGCATATTATAAAAAAAAATCAGAGGAATTAATCCAAATTGTGGCTCAGAAACGCCTCTTTTCCTTGGATTTCCATGGATGGAAGGAACGCTCCCTTCGCTTTCTTCAGTGATAATGGCACCGACTGATGACATTTGCCGGTGAAATGGTTCAGTTTTTTACTGTAAAAAAATGCGAGCCATTTGTTTTGCTTGATCCTGCTTGCATTTTTTTCCCTTTGTTTTGCTTGATCCTGCTTGCATTTTTTCCCATTTTTTTCCCGGTGAAATGGTTCAAGAATTCATCACGTCTCTTGACTTTCATAATAAAAAGTTTCTTGCGCCTAATGTATGCTGAAACTTAAGTTGTGTTACCTAAATCTGTACTGTATTAAATAATCTAGGATTGTTGTTTAACCACTTTGAACACGGACATCTTCTGCCCTACCTAACCTGTCATTTTCTTCGCCCCATGTTTCCTTGCTAAAGTAACCTGCAACCGACATGAGCAGCTCTCAACAGTCTTCAAAAAGTTGACAGCGAGCCGTGAATGGTAACTAGATAAATGTGCTGACTGTTACGCGTCAAATTTCTCAGCAAACCGTGACACTTTGCCCCATTATTGTCAAATCAAGGCAATTTGGGTGGCCCCATTTCAAATTTCCTTTTGCTTCTATATGACCTTTTAAGAGAACAAGGAGGATTTTGTGGTCTCTTGTAAGGGGGAAAGTATCGCGACGACCGGTTGCTAACCGTTGATGTCATGGTAAAACAAATATTCATCGCTCCCTGAAAAAGTGAAATAAAAAAAATGCATGACTGCCGTCGCCCAAAAATAAGACACCACATGTCATTCAACATAAAGAACAATAGACATCTTTTTTTAGTTGTCAATAGACATCATTTTGGGCGTACACATATTATGCAATGTGCTACATACCTCTTTTCTTCACTGTTATTTATAGAAAAATGCGACTAGGTTTTTTTCGCAGGGATTGTACCCCCTCCGAACCATATTAATTGTCGCTGATTTAGTACAAGAGTGAGTAAAAGGAATTTTTTAGGAAGACCACACTAGAAACAATTAGAAAAGCACAATTTCCTTAAAACAATCATATGCTCTTATTTTCAATCAAGAAATATATTTAATTTAATATTTACACCGAATTTTAGAAGAAAAAAACTATTCTAGTACATTCATACTCATTCTAGCAAAGAGAGTATAAAATTGTGAAATGATAAACAAGAAAAGCGTAACTCTGGAAAGGTGTAGCTCACTGTTAATTTTACACAAGAGGTTGATAACGGGTCGAGTTCCCAAAGAAAAAGTAAGAACAATTTTTTTTTGAGAATCAGTAAGAACATTATTTAATTGTACTGTAGTTTTAGTTATACAAGTTGCTCTGTAGTTTTTCGGATCTAGTATGATCCAAAGCATTGCAACTGAATTTTTATCGAGTTTGAATAAAGTCATAAGATGCTAATTATTAAAGAAAAATTCGAAGAAACTTTGCTTATGTGTGTGTGGTTAGGATCCTCTCAATTCTCTCCCAAACAAAAACAAATCTCTAAAAAAAAACAATAATAGATTCTCTGACGAAGAGGATCCAGCAGCACGCGAGCGCATTGAACTCCACACAACCTAACTGCCAGCGCGTGGCGCACCGCAACACACCGCACGAACCGACCTCCAAATCCCGGATTCCCCAGGGGTCCATCCGCGAAAAGACCCCACAGCCGGGAGGGAGGAGCCCATCCCGTCCCGAACCAATCACACCCCTCGGCGGCGGCGCGGACCGCCGCGCCGGCCATGGCGGACGCCGTCAAGCAGCCGCTCCTCCACCACCAGCCCTACCCCTACGCGTACCCGTCTTACGCCGCGTCGGCCTCGTCCCCCGCGCTCCCCTCCGTGCCCCACTCCGGGACCGCCACCCCCACCCCCGGGGGCGGGGGCGGGGGCGCGGCCTCCTCCTTCGCCGGGGGCCGCCGCTTCCCGGGCGGCCTCGACGTGCCCAACCTCAAGAAGCGCGGCGGCGGCACGCGCAGCTGGATCCGCGTCGAGGCCGCCACGGCCTCCGTGCAGACGCTCGAGGTCGACAAGGCCACCATGATGCGCCGCTGCGAGCTCCCCGCCCGCGACCTCCGCCTCCTCGACCCGCTCTTCGTCTACCCCTCCACCGTCCTCGGCCGGGAGCGCGCCATCGTCGTCAACCTCGAGCAGATCCGCTGCGTCATCACCGCCGACGAGGTGCTCCTCCTTAACTCCCTCGACAGCTACGTCTTCCAGTACGCCGCCGAGCTGCAGCGCCGCCTCCTCCAGCGCGCCGAGGGCGACGAGCTCCCCTTCGAGTTCCGCGCCCTCGAGCTCGCCCTCGAGGCCGCCTGCTCCTTCCTCGACGCCCAGGTACCCACGCCACCACGCGCTCCACCATTCTCCTTGCGTTCCCCCTCTAAAATCACTTTATGTGCATCTGCTGTGATTACTTAGTCATGGTACGATGATCCCATAATTATTCTAGTACAAATTTTCTGCAATACTGTTGTTTAGTTTGATCATAGAATTGGAGTGGGCTAAGTTCATCCGAATGTCTAATACTAGATACTACTAAGGGATGTCATGGTGGGCAAACACTAAATTTGGGGTCAGTGCCTTCGATCCCCAGGAAACAAAGCGTGTTTGGCTACTTTGGGGAATAGGGAATGGGAGTTTCCAGGTGGGAGTTTGTTGGGGGATTATGCTTCAGGAAATTGGTTATTAGTCCCAAACCCTTGGTTGGTGTGTGGTGGTGGGATTTGGGAGGATGTTCTATCCCACTTGAATTAACAGGGGACCAGGGGAGAGGTACGTTAGAATTGGCCTCCTTAATTCCCTTTCCCCTTCCCTCCTCAACTTCCTTGCCTCCTAACCAAGCAATGGATTATAGGCTTGCTCCTTGGTATTAGTTGGATCAAAATTATCACTGATTGTTGACGTTTTTCTCTCCTGCCTCTCTTTGGAGGTGTACTAAGGAATTTAATAAATAGTTGGCGCCAGTCTGCTACATCTGTAATTAGAGATTCTTTTCATAGCATTTCTTTTTTGCTTTTGAAATTTCAACATCTGTGGTACATTATGCTTTAGGAAGGGGATGAAAGTCTAAGCTTATTTAACCATTGGTCTGAGAAATATAGGTCCAAGAGGAAAAGGTATACCAACATAGATCTTTGAATGCAAAAAGGGTCAGTGGTCACTCTGGGTGTTTAGAGGTGACGGTTTTCTTGTTTAAGAAGTCATCACCTCCCTATGTGCATATTCTTTCCTTCTGTAGGTGTTCTCTTTGATACCTTTCCCCCTTCATTACCAGTACAATGATGCTTTCTCTGTTAAAACCTTGACACTACATTATCAATCTCCAACAGCTTAATTGATCTAAGGTCACCTGAAGTATTTGTTCAGAATTTGGATCATCTATCTCATATGCTTATACCTGAACCCTCTCTGAAGTGGTATTCTTGTGCCAGATTTTTGCCATTTGATTATAGTTATGATTGCATACTTCGATTTGGGAGTTGTTATGAGGCTACTATATGGGACTGGAGACACCTTCTGTAATGGAATTGGGAAAATATAACTGTTTGAACCGAGAAATTAGGTTATGCAGAAATATTTAACACTAACATTACTATTTTACTTCCCTTTTGCTAGGCCAGCCAATAGTGTTATTATGTTGGAAAATAAGCAATTCATTATTTAATCTTGATAAAGGGTAAGCTGATATTACGTAGCTGCAAGAGAACTGGAGTAGATTTAGGCTTGGCTTGACATAGCGATTTTCTTAATGCACTTTGAATATATACTCCCTCCGTTCCTAAATATAAGCCTTTTTAGAGATTCCAATGCGGACTACATACCGAGCAAAATGAGTGAATCTACGTTCTAAAGTATGTGTATATACATCCGTATGTAGTCTGTATTGAAATCTCTAAAAAGGCTTATATTTAGAAACGGAGGGAGTAGTGTTTTTCTAGTATATAGATCAGTTGACAACTATCTGTTGGGAATATAACAGTGATTTTTACTATAGTTCGTAAATTTTCTTCACAACTACATGATTCCACAGTGTAGCGACAGTGCACAACAATCCTAAGCAGAGACTACCTGTGTGCTGCTGTGCTCCACTGTAGTTTGGGATGTATTATGGAAATTATGCTTTTGGTTTGAAAATAATTACCTCCGTCCCAAATTAGTTGTCTTAAATTTGTCAGATACGGATGTACCTGACACAGTAAAACGTGTCTAGATACATCCGTATCTAGACAAATCTAAGACAACTAATTCGGGACGGAGGGAGTAGTAGTCAATAATTAGTGAATGGATGGATGCAAGTATTGCTTGTTCGTAGTTTATTCAAAAAGCTTCTAGCCAGGACATTGAAAGCTTTAATTATTGACAAAAAATATCTTGTAAAGGCTTCATACAAGAACCATCACCTGAACATGATCCTGTACCAATGTCTGCATTAATTCTCTAGCTTTTGTTGTTGCAGAAAGTGACCATGGTTACAAGTTGTACAGTTCATGCTCTTTGAGATACTTCACAGTTCACAGATAGCTCATGCTAACTTATATGCTAGCCCTCCATCCCAAAATAAGTGTCTCAACTTTAGTACAGTACAAAGTTGTACTAAAGTTGAGGCACTTATTTTGGGGCGGAGGGAGTATTTATGTTTACTATTCAGCTATGAAATATAATTTATATCTCTGAAGTCGGCAGCCTCCCTCTTACCTCATCAAGTTCATTGGAAATAATATTCATTGCACCAAAACATGATGATCTTGATATCAGTTCAAACTGGAGCATGTCTTAATCTGCATTTTCTGCCTTTCTCAGGCAGCAGAATTGGAAATTGAAGCATATCCCTTACTGGATGAGCTAACATCAAAAATTAGTACTCTAAATCTGGAACGTGTTCGGCGGCTAAAAAGTAGACTAGTTGCTCTGACCAGAAGAGTCCAGAAGGTAAGTTTGCATTCTAATAGGAATCCTGCTTCTCTTTTTCTTCAGATAATATGTTTCTAAGTTAGTCCTGCTATATAATTGCCGTTGTATCTTGCAATAGGTCAGGGATGAAATAGAACAACTGATGGATGATGATGGAGATATGGCTGAGATGTATCTCACCGAGAAAAAGATGAGGATGGAATCATCATCTGTGTTTGGTGATCAGTCGTTGGCGACCTTCAACGCAGCAGCTGCTGGGACTTCAGTTTCAGCTCCCGTGTCTCCAGTCTCGTCACCAACAGAATCACGGAAATTGGAGAAAACCTACAGCTTGTGTAGAAGTAGACATGATAGTGTAAAGAGCTCAGATAACACAGTGACTGAACATATTGAGGAGCTTGAAATGTTACTAGAAGCATATTTTGTAGTCATCGACAGCACTCTTAACAAGCTGACCTCGGTAAGGAGTCACCTTTATTCAAAATTGCAAGATGTCTTGTGTTTTCTTATATAACTGCGAGTCGACGGGTCTATGACTGATTTTGTTTTCCTTCTTTCAGCTGAAGGAGTATATTGATGACACCGAAGATTTTATCAACATTCAGCTGGTACATCAGCATATCTCGTACTCTTCTCATTCAATTTACCAGCACGTAGGATCTATGCGTTTCACATATCGATGCCTGCTATATGAACTAACTGAATTATCTTGAGTTTCCTGTTCCCAGGAGAATGCATGTAGGATCTATGCATTTCACATACTGCTGCCTGCTGTCTCTATACTAATCGATCTTCACTCTCCTGTTCCCAGGACAACGTGCGGAATCAGCTGATCCAGTTCGAGCTTTTGCTAACAACCGCCACATTTGTCGTCGCCATTTTCGGAGTGGTCGCGGGTGTTTTCGGGATGAACTTCGAGACCGACGTTTTCAACATCCAGAACGCGTTCCAGTGGGTGCTGATCATTACTGGAGTGGTTGGCGCTTTCGTCTTCTGCTTCTTCGTCTGGTTCTTCAAGTACAAGAGACTGATGCCCCTGTAGATATAAGCTCCCGTCATTATGCGGACTCAACCTTCTATTCTCTGTTAAGGTACTTGACCAAAAAGACCTGAATCCATGTAAATCAACATTTTTTCAGGGGCTTGCCGTGTACCTACTACAAAATCAAATGAAAACATATAATTTTTCCTTACTCTTCTGTAAATGGGTTATTATAGAAATAGTTCTCAAGTCTTAACCATCCATCCTTCCAAATATTTTGCCTATTAATAAAAACAGGTATTTGTTGGGGTGGTTATAGATATAAAATTCTTGTATGTACATGGTTTTAGGACTCCACTACAAATCTGACTTTAGATTTTTTATCATGGCAATAAATCAAATGTTTTTCTATGGCAATTTGTGTTTGCCGAGGAAATCAAGTCCAGTTTGCAAGCATGGCAAATCCGTCTTGGTTCATTTATTTTGTGTGGAAATTGCCGTGCTCGCCAACTGAATTTGCCATCCTCACCCCAATTAAATTTGCCGTAAAAAATGTTCCATTTGCCATGCTTAAAAATCAGGTGTCAGATTTTTAGCATTACCGTAATTTTAACAGAGTATGCTGGGTATATATAGGGCTTTCTTCTAATTCCATATGAGAAAACTGTTTTTACTACTCGTAGTAGCTTATGTAATTTGTGCTACGGTCGTTCGTCGGTATGTAAGCTCTACTAGTTCATTCCCGAGACAAAAGAAGTACTACCAGATGTAGGGTATGCTGACGCTGAGTCACCAGCTGGAGGGTATGCTGGCGCTGCGTCCCACTACGTGGCAGTGACACCGCGCCACGCGTCCTGCCATGCATTCCAGTGGCCGCTTAACATGCCCACTTAAGGCCCCTCTCGTCCTTCTCCGAGGGCTCATCTCAGCAGTGGCAAACAAGAAAGCTTGGCCGGAGTTTGCAGCTTGGCAGCGAGAAGAGGAGGAGCATCGTCCGTCCACCATGTGGCCGGAGATGAAGGCGTGGGCCTCCATGGCCGACGACCCGCTGAAGCGCGCGTCGTCGTCGGCGACGAGCCCGTCCAGCCCCATGCGCCGCTTCAGCCCCACCACGATGGCCGTCGGCGGCCTCCTCACCGTCGGCACCGTCGGCTACTTCATGTTCATGGGCAAGGACGACAGGCAGCGCGAGCGCGACAGGCACAACGAGCGCCTGGCTCAGCGCACCTGAGAAGCCGCCATCGTCGCCGCCCTCCTCTGAGGGAGGCGAACGCCGTCTAGCTTAGCGTACTAGCCGCTGCCGCGTAATAGTAATAAAATCCAACCCCCTTCCGTGTACGGTGTATAAATCGCGTGTGTTCTGTTGTTTATGTACTCTTTTATCAGTGGAACATGCATAGATTTCACTGAGCATACATAGTCTTCTTTTATCTGTTGCTGAACATGGTTAATTCTCTGAAGTTCACCCGTTCGCCTAAGATGACGCCTGAATTAGCAGAGCTACTCTTTTGATCTCAAAACCAACCACGCCATGGCATGCTAGTTAACAAATTGTCTAGTCGATCTTGAGGGAGGAGTAGATGAGCCTTGTGAAGTAGAGGCAGGTGTAGAAGGCGGCGTAGAGTTAGAGGTAGAGCGCCGAGGAGCCGGCTGTTGTCAGGTAAGTACGACCTCCACCACCACCGGTAGTCCTCGCCGCAGAGCTGGAAGTAGCAGAGCACCACGGCGATCTCCGCGCAGGTCATGATCATGGCTTCCGGAGCATGATCATGGCCACCATGCCGGACAGGAAGAGCACGATCATGAGCGAGTTCACCATGGAGACCCAGTGGATCTGGTCGTCCGTCATCGGGAGGATGAAGGTACGTGTCCCAGCACGACGCCCATTGATGTCGCTTTCCTGCGCGCAGGATCCGCCATGGATGGAGTGGATACCATTGTCAAGAGCCACACAAGACAGACAGACACTGAACCACACGGATGTCCGCCATGGACGCGGCTTTCAGTGACCTTACGAAGCCAAGTCTCACCATAACTTAGACCCCATTATCAGCCGTCCATTAAAGAACCGACTCTCCAGATTGACCTATTTCCATACTGAAAATTTTGAAGTGTTCAGAAAAAATTGAAAATAATCCAGTAAAAATTGAAAATAATCCAGTAAATCATAAATATTTTGTTTTGTATTCTGGGAAAGTTTCAACCCATTTGGATTGTATGGTTTGTGATTAAATAGCTTTGTGAGCTCAAATAAATAAAAAAAGTGTATTCACAAACTATACATCCAAATGGATTGAAATTTTCACAGAATACTAAACAAAACATTTGCAATTTATTGATTTTTTTTTAAATTTATCTGAACACTTTAAAAAATTCATTTGAAATATGAATCAATTCGGTCGGTTGGATCTTTAATGGAGGGCTGATAGAGGAGGCCAAGTTACGGTGGGACATGAAGTCACTGAAGCTGCGTCCATCCGCACCAATCCATTGTCAAGAGCCACACAACGGCCAAGGCAGACAAACACTGAATCATATGGTGTTGACCGTTGACACCACATATATATATACTTCAAAATCGATGTCGTAGGAGAAGATGATCTCCTTGTTGGCCTCTACTTCTTGGGGAGAATCGGAGTCTCGGACGAGGCGCCGAGAATGCAGGTCGCAGGTCTCGTCGCGCGTCGCGTTCCCCTTCCACTCGCCGTCGTGTTCATGCTTAACGCTGCACCCAGCAGCAAAGCAGAGAAGATGTTCATGCTTGATACGACGAATCAAACTTGTCGAGAATCCTGCAACCAACCAAGCGTTTGATACGACGAATCCATTAGTGAGCTCTGTGGCCGATCTCTGAACAATTCTTACACCATATGCATGATGCATCTGCTCTGCTCACATGTTGACGCGATAGTCGTCGTCGATCTTCTCATTGACGTCGTTGGCCCCCTGCTGGGTGAGCATCATCCTGCAGACGATCTGGCACAGCCTCGGCTCCTGCATCTCCAACTGCAAACTCAGCCACAAATCCTGGGCGAGGATGGATTTTGACGGGTGTCCTCGTTGGTTGGAGTAAATTAAACAGAAGTACCACAATTCGGACATTGGAATCAGATTGGTATCAAGATTGGTAATTTTTACGTGTCAGTATCAACTTTGGGGCGAGAGGATGCAAAAAAGGCTAAAACAGTTGTTTAGACGTATTGACAGGGAAACTGACCCGTTGGGCCCGCCTGTCGGGTGCTACATGGCATGTTTTTTTTACAGAAAACCCCTTGCTTTGTACGTAATCCCGTAAATGCCCAATTATTTCGGGAAAAAAGCTCCTATAAGAGCTTTTTTTTTCGTTCGTAATTTCCACCACCAATTTGGACTCGTTTGAAAATTTGCGTCGGTTTGAAGGAACAAATAAACAAGCCAAAATTAAATCCCGCACAGGATTCAAACCGCCGACCTGCTGTTCCGCAGCGCCGCGTGCTAGCAACCCCGCCAAAGCATCGCTAGCGACATATAGCAGGCGAGGTTCTTTTTATACTAGCTCAGGAACGCTGGGCCGGCCCACCGAGGCCTGCATTTTTTTTTCGTTTCGCACTTACCTGGCGCGCGTGTTGGGGTTCATTCATTGCCCAGATTTCTTTATGTTTCATTTTTCTTACTCATTGTGCTTTATTTTTTTGTTTCTAGTTTTGGCTTATTTTAGGTTTTCCTTCCTTGCTTTTTCTTTCTTTCTTTTTCATTCACTAGTTGGTTTTCTCCTGGATTTTTAACATATTTACTGAATATTTTTTATGACGGGTTTTAGTATATGGTGAAAATTTGCATAATGCGCGGTGAAAATTTCGTAATTTATGGTGAACATTTTCTTAATACACGATGATTTTCATGAATATTATGATTACATAATTTCTTAATTTATAGTGAACATTTTTAATGCACGATGAACTTTTCTTTAGAAACGGTGAACATTTTTCTTATAATATGAACGTTGAACATATTTTGAATGCAAATTGAATATTTTTGTAATATATGTTGAAATATTTTCTTAAGATATGAAGAAAAGTTTACTTAATGCGTGTTATTTTTTTTTGTAATTTATGGTGAGCATTTTCTTAATACACGATGAGTTTCAAGAGCATTATGGTGAACATATTCTTAATACATGGTGAATTATTTGTATTTCAAGAAATGTTCAGCATGTGTTAAAAACTTATTATGTAAATCATTCTTGCAATTCAGAGAGGTCGATTTTTTTAATAAAAGTTGAACAGTTTTAATGCATTTCTAAAATTTATTATGATTACACATTTATTTTTAATACATGTTGTCAACTTTTTAAGTAACAGTGCATTTAAAAAAATACAATCAATATGCGAGTAACTCAAATAAAAATCTGTGTGTTGGGCATTTTTTTTTTAAAGTTGTGTATTTGAATAATATAATTAGGATACATAGTAATTGTGCATGGTTGTGGTCCTCAGCGCAGACACATTAAATTTGGGCCATGCCTGTGTTCTAGTCTGGTGCTTGACACTTAATAATACTAATATGTAATCGCAAAAAATATATGTATTATTTTTTTGAGGATAAATATATGTATTATGTTCAGGATTAAAAAAACAGTAAACCAGTGTGCAGCCCCGCTGGGCCAACCGCCGGCCCAACGTCCTCGGGCTAGTATAAAAATGCTCTAGCCTGCTATACGTCGCGAGGGATGCCGTGGCCGGGTGGCTAGCGCACTGCGCTGCCGACCAGTCGCGGTTTGAATCCTGCGCGGGATTCAATTTTGCTTTCTTTTATTTATTTTGCAACGTCTCGCCTCAAAGATGATACTGACCATTGGTTGTTGGGACGCCGGCAGGTGCGGCCCGTGCCGCGGTGCAGTTCGGGGGCGCATATTTTTTTTTTGCGTGGAAGGGGGCGCGGGTTTTGTCGCCGTGGACCGCGGGATCGTCAGGGCCGGTCGTGCGGGGCCCACTTTGTTGCACGATTCTCGACGCGTCCGGCTGCGTCGACGCACCTCGCCAGGCATGAGTGTCCGCAAAGATGAGTGTCGCCGACGGAAC